ATAAATCTGGGCCTTAAGGCCAGCAGGATGTGGACAAATAGGATTTTTTTTTTCTTTTTTTTAAGATAAAGAAGCCTCCTGAAAGTGGCCCTGTCTTAAAATATACAACTTCTTATGCTTCTAGATGTTTCACTATGGGTAGATGCGGGCAGGTTGCAAAACCTTTCTCAGTCTGGGAAGATTATTTTGTTTCCTTGAAGAATTTTTAACACTGTATATGTGATTGAGGTACTGTACATATTTTCCTAAAATAATCCATAAGGCCTCAGTGGACAGGTCTGTTGTGTGGAGTTTTTGAAAACCATGCATTTCTTCTCATGGAGAAGCGGTCATTTTCCTTAACTGGTTTTTCTTTTTCTGCTGCGACGCAGAGCCCTTTTCTGTCTTCTTATTTTTCCTCCTCTGCTGTTCTGTTTCCCTCCATCTTTGTCCTTCTTTCTTTGCAGTTGTGGGCCCAACTTGGCACTCTCTCTCCAGGTTTGGCTTTTTTCTCTTTTTTCATTCTCCTTCTCTCTATTTCTCTTTCTCCGTGGCCCTTTCAGTCTTTTTCTGTTGGGGGCACATTTCTCCTAGTGATGGCTGAAACTGGCATGGGTATGTATTTTAGAAATGTTTCAGTGAAAACTGTTGCTGGTTTTTTTTTTTTTTTTTCACCAAATAGTACTCAACAATAAAAGACAGAGGCTTTTCTTCCACAAAGGCAGCAAAATCCCTTTCCACAAACCGAAAGCCCGTGTGAATTTTTAAAAAGTCTTATTTCTGGCTTCTCGATGAGGATTCTCTCCAATGGAGGAAATACCTTTTCCCCCCAATGCTTCCTGCTTTTCCTTTTTGCCCCCCTTGTCTTTTTTTTTTTTTTTCCCCTTCCTATTACCAGTATCACTGGCTTCCTTTCCCCGTTTCCCGCGTCCTTCTACTCTGTGGCCTGCATGTCCCCTCGCTTCTTCCATCGCCCGAACTCTTACACTTGCCAGTGACTCAGACCTGGAGAAGCCTTGAATCGTATGAGGGATTTTTTTGTCTTGATTCTGGTCTTTGGTGCAGGATGTAAAGCGGTCTGATCTCCTGCCTGGGGCTGGAGGGGAGAAGGGAAGGAGGCTGGGCCGGAGACAGGTAATCTTCCAACAGGAGCCTCCACTCTCTTAACAAAAGGGGGACAGTCTCCTTTTGTCTGGGGCTCATGAGGGGCGTGTCTGGGCTGATGGCCGCCACCAGTGGCATGCAGGAGGAGGGGGCCCGCAGTGGAGGGTGCTTGAAATGTTTCTAATGGAACCTGAGCAATTCCTCTGTGTGCGCCGAAAGTAGGAGGGGAGGAAAGGAGGGAGGGAGGAGAGAGAAATAGAGAAAGAGACCTTCTCATCGCCCTAAGCATCAGAATATCCTGGCCACTCCTCCAGAAAGGCCTCCCCCACTGGGAGTCAGCAGCCCATAGAGAGAATGGGGTGAGGGGAAAGTATTTGCGTGAGAATCTTCTGCCCACCTGCAAGGTTATAGCCACTGGCAGGAGAAGGACAATTGACAATTGTTCTTCCTCCAACTTTCTGCCCTGGGAAAGGCCTGTGGCTCCTTCTGTTAAGAGAGCCTTGAGGGGGTGCTTGGGGCTCTTTGTGGGTCCCTGAGGCTCTATTGAGACATTCTTTTGCGGCCTGTCCTCTGATCTCTCCGCCATTCCATGGAGTTTTGACCCCCAACCCCTCTCCAGGAGCCAATCGTGCATCTTGTCCTGTTTCCGTAACTTCTACATGGATCCTTCCATCTGTCATCTCCCAGCTGTGGGACTGTTGCTGTCCCCACCTCTATCCCTGACCCAGTTGTACCACCAGATTCAGATTCAACCCATATTGAGCACGTCTCTTCTACTGTGGCACTGTGGTCTGTGAAGCGGAACATGCCAGGATTCTCCAGGAGGCTCGTGTTGGCCATTTTCTGTTTGGTATCTAATATTTAGTATAAATCAGAAAACAAGAAAAACACCTCAATGCCAAATATAAACTCACTTGTAGTTTTTAATGACCTCACCTTGACTTTAGAAGGCAAAATTGCCTCTGCAAGTTGGAGAGGCAGAATTTGGTACCTTATGTCATGTCGCTAAGCTAACATCTTTGGCTGATTGGACTGAAGCTGGTTATTAACATGATGTAAATTATCGGACACCACCCTAAGAGGCCTGTCTCTGATAACACCTGCCTTCTGCACTCTCACCTCTAACCGTTTCTTTCAGGGGTCAGCCATGAGCTCAGTTCACTTGAGATGGATCATTCAGGGCACAGACTGGGGTGCCAGGTGTTGGGCAGCTCCTGTCCCATTGTCAGGGTTCAGCGCCAGCCCAGGGCTGGATGTTTTATTTTGGCACGCCCCAGGTGCTCTTCCGGGAACCTTTCTGCCAACATAAAGGCCACAAAGCACAGGGTTTCAGTTGGGGAAGAAAGGGGCCCGAGTGAGCAGTGACCTTTTTTCCGTTGCCAGCTGAGGACTGAGCTTCGCTGGGGGAGAGGGCGGCTGTAGGGATGGAGTTCTGAGTGGAATTGGATCCCGTTCTCCCTGTCTGCAGCCACATCCTTCCTCTTCTGCTTTTCCTTTCATATCTATTTCCTTCTTACTGCATTTCAAAGGCCTCAAGCATGGCTGCTCCCTAGCTCTTACTGGAGAGACCCCTTCAGAGGTGGGACTCCCCTCCCCAGTGCTCACCTTTTCTGCCTACTGTGAGGAAGGTCCCAAGTAGAGGACCAGAGCAGGAACTCCCTGGTGGGTCTCTTCTCTGTGACTTGATTTCCCCCAGGTGGCCTGCTTTTGGTAGAGCCCTTTGCTGTTTTTTGTTGTGTCCTTTCTTAGCTCTTTGCTTTTCATTTGGGTTTCTCATTTTATACTTCTGTACTTTGCATTGCTAGGGTTTGGGCCCTTTAGTCTAAATTGATTTGGGAGACAGGTAAGAAAACTAATCTCAGGTCAACTGGAGAGAGCAGATCCGGAGGAAGTGAAGAATTAAATGCCTGTGCAGTGGTGAGGGGCGTTGGTCAGATTCCTTGCTTCTGCTCAGAGGTAGTGTCCATCTTTTTGCCTTTGTCACTTCTCCCCGGGTCTGGCTGTTGTTTGTGGCTGCGTGTAGAGCTTGTCAGGCGGAGTGCTGTGACAGGAGGCTATTTTAATAAACTGTTGCAGTTTCTCGAGCCGAGCTGTGTTGCGTTGGCATCCCTCGTCACCGCTAATGGAGCGTGCGTGGCTGGGTGTGGGCCGAAGGAGGAGGCTGAGCTTGCTGGGGGCTGGGGGAGAAGAGAGGGACGTGTGGGGTGGTGGCCTACCCCTTGTCTGATAGTGCTCTTTCAGCAGCCAGACCGGGGGGCATCACAAGGTGGCAGTACCCTGGGCACCAGATCCCTGCCCTGGAAGTACTGCTGGCATGGACACTTTCTGAGCTCTTTCTTCTTATTTCTATTCATAGCACTGCAGGCTCGTGTGTATGTGGCCGGGGAGGAAAACTTCCACTCGCCCCTGTGTGCTCCATAGGAAGAAAAAAAAGAAAGAAAGAAAGAAATAGAAACAGAAAAAGAGAGAGTGTGCAGGCCCGAGAGAAAGACTGAAACCAAAACACAGAGAGAAGGCGCAGCTGCTTCCCCAAGGCCTTCTGGGGCTCCCGCCCGCCAGCCTGCCCGGAGTCAGGCCTTTATTTATTTATTTTTTCAGGCTTAAAAAAAATTTCGAGTCTTCCACAATCCCAGTCCCCCCCCACTGCCCCACCCCACCCCCAGATTTGCTGGGTGGCTGCTGCCAAATGGACCCGAGTGGGAGCCTGGAATGAAAAATTCATAACTGCTGGACTTTGCTTGTTCATTAGACGTGAACTTGTCGATTGGGCAAATTGTTTTTGGTCTCCAACTGCCGGGGGCTCTCCCCACCCTCCCGGCTCGCCTGGTTCCCTCCTCCCCTTAGACGCAGCCATTGGCTGCTCGTGGATGTCTCTTTGCCAAATAGGTGGATCCTTCTCTCTCTCTCTCTCTCTCTCTCTCTGTCTCTTTCTCCCCCCCCCCCCTTTTTACTGGCTTGGCACAAGCAAATGGATGGGGATTGAGCCTGAAAGGAGAGAGAGAGAGGGAGTTTGAGAGAGAGAAAAGGAGCAAAAAAAAAAAAAAAAAAACACCCCAAAACCCAACCAGTGCGCACACACACGCGCACACTCACACACACGCCCCATCCCATCCACGTCCTCCCTCGATCCTCGATCTCTCCCTCCCCCCCTTCTTCCTTTCCTCCCTCCCTCGCTCCCTCTCTCTCTTTTGCACGCGTCTGCCAGCAACGGTCTGCAGCCGGTCAGAACTCGTCCTCTTCCCCGGGAATCTGCGAGCTCCCCCTTTTCCTCCGATCAGGCAGCTCGAAGTTTACACCCCTGTGCCGCTGCCAAAGCCGAAAGCCTTTTTCTTCAGCTGCCGCTTTTTCCCTCCTGGGTTTTGTTTTTGTTTTTGTTTTGCACGGGGGTGGGGTGGGGTGCGTTGTTGGTTGCGGGGAGATGGTGGGAGGCTGGTTTTGATTTTTAAATTTTGCATTTTTTTCTTTCTTTTTTTTTTTTTTTTAACTGGAAGAGGATGCACAGGGGAAGAAATTGAAAAAAAATTTGTTGGCTTTTGTTTACCTGGCGTGTGTGGCAACCGGCTCGCTCCCTCTCTCTGCTTGCTATCCCTGACCTTTCTTTCTTTTTGCTCCTTTTCAAAAAAAAATATTAATTTCCCCCTTCTGTGCAATGGAGCATGGAGGGGGGGAGGAGGGGGAAGGGTTTGAGAATCCACCCAAGCCCAGCCCCTATTCCCCAGAACACCAATAATAACCCCCTTTAAAACATTTACCTTCCTCCCCTGCTCCTCCTCCTCCCCCCTCCCCCCACCCGCCCCCAACTCACAACTCTGTTGAGTCCAGAATCTCAGAATCGGGCGTTGGGCTTTGCCGGGTGCTTCAGATCAATGGTAATTATTTAATTTTTTCCAGTTTTATTTTTGTAAACAGAAATCAATTATTATTTAAACTTCAAACAAGCAAACAACCAAAAAAAAAAAAAAACCAAACAAAACCGAGAGAGCCCATCCTTCTGTCACCTGACTGAGTGGGAAAGAGGGTGAAGGGGTTGTGGGAGGCTGGGGAAGGGGTCGCAAGAAGACCCATGTAGCTTTTAACCCTAATGTGGCCGAGACAAGCACCTTATTTGTGCTAACAAGAAGTGTTTTGTTCATTATTACTGTGATTAACATTAGTATTGGTGTCGATAACAAAGCTGAAATCACATATTTAGGATTTAGGTCTGATTAAAAAATGCTGGGGTGGATGTTCCAACTGGATCAGGAGAAAAGAAAATGAAAACAGCCTGGGGAGAGGGAAGCCTGATCTGTTTCCTCACTCGCTTGCTCGTGGATGTCATTTTCTCTCTTCTTGGGGGCGGCCAAAAATCGACCGGTGTCGGGGACCAGAGGCGGCCCCGCACGCCCCCGCGTGTGCGTCCACGGGCGTCTGTGCAGACGGACATTGCGCCGGGGCGAGCTGACAGGAGTTCACGGCTGCGATAGAACATGGAGATGTCATGGGCGCGACAGAGCCTGGCGGGGATACCAGCAGCGTGTGTGTGTGGACGGCAACGTTGTCTGTGCGCGTGTGTGTGAGTGAGTGAGGGAGAGAGAGAGAGAATAGGTGTGTGTACAGGCTCCCGGTGCCTCTGTCTGGCTGCTGAGGCTGAGATGGGAGCAAGTGGCTGGCGAAGCTGGTGGTGGCTTCAAACCACACTTTTGTAGAACAATTGCAAGAGAAAATTGTTGGGGGGAGGGAGGAGGAGGAGAAGGCGGTTTTCCTTGTGCCCCCCCTTCTAACGCTGCTTTTCTCCTTCTCTCTTTCCCCCTCATCCCGTCTTCCCCTCCTCCCGTCCTCCCTCGCCCCGCATGCTCCCGGCTTGCCGCCTGCAGGATGAGTTCCACCCGTTCATCGAGGCACTGCTGCCTCACGTCCGCGCTTTCTCCTACACCTGGTTCAACCTGCAGGCGCGGAAGCGCAAGTACTTCAAGAAGCATGAAAAGCGGATGTCGAAGGACGAGGAGCGGGCGGTGAAGGACGAGCTGCTGGGCGAGAAGCCCGAGATCAAGCAGAAGTGGGCATCCCGGCTGCTGGCCAAGCTGCGCAAGGACATCCGGCCCGAGTTCCGCGAGGACTTCGTGCTGACCATCACGGGCAAGAAGCCCCCCTGCTGCGTGCTCTCCAACCCCGACCAGAAGGGCAAGATCCGGCGGATTGACTGCCTGCGCCAGGCTGACAAGGTGTGGCGGCTGGACCTGGTCATGGTGATTTTGTTTAAGGGGATCCCCCTGGAAAGTACTGATGGGGAGCGGCTCTACAAGTCGCCTCAGTGCTCGAACCCCGGCCTGTGCGTCCAGCCACATCACATTGGAGTCACAATCAAAGAACTGGATCTTTATCTGGCTTACTTTGTCCACACTCCGGGTAGGTCGTTCTCAACCATTTTTCCCCCTCATTTTATTTTACTTGCTGGCATTTGTTCTGTTTATTGTTCTCCAATTTCCAAGCGATAACTCGCCGCGGGCCTAACTGGTGTATGCCTGTCCTGCCGGGCCTGCAACATGTTCTATGGGCCCTTTTCCTTTTTCCTGTCTTCTGTCTCCCCCAGCCTGCTCCATTCTTCCTCCTCTGCTCCCTGGCCATGTTATTGACTTTGTGCATTTCCATCGTTGGAGGACTTATCTGATCAGAAAGATGCTGCAGGTCTTAGGATTGGGGACATGATGCCCCCAGAATTATCCATGATGGTGAGAGTTTGAGATGAACAACAATAACAGCACACCAATAGTTGCTCTTATTAAAATGAGTCAGAAGAAGTATTGAGGGGCAGGTACTAGTTTTCCTGCAGCTTCACCTCCAGTCCCAGGAAAAACTGGTTTTGGTACAAGCGGGATGGGCAGGAGTTTGGTGGAGAGAAGGGGCATGTGAAACCTCGGGAGATGAGACTGAATGAACAGAAAAGAGGAGAGAAGACAGTAGTGGGCAGATTCTGCAGCCTAAATACTCAGGCGGGAGCTGTTTGGCTGGGATTTGGCTGTCAGAGAGTATGAAAGTAATTTGATTTCATAGAGAGTGAAAACAAGCACGAGATTCCTTGAGCTCTTTCCCTTCTCCTTATTTCAGCTAAAGTGGCAAGGCCTCAGGATGGATGCCCACAGCCCTGGCACTCTGCTGGGGAGCAGAGAGGCTTTCTCGGGGCACAAGCATGGCAGGGAGCAGCGCTGCTGTGGAAGAGGTCTTAAGCAAACAAACAAACAAAAAACTCTGTAAAATCTCCTTTTCCTTTTGTGTTCCAAGTAGTTCTGCTTCCCCTCTTCGCTTTTCCAGTTTTACCCTGCATTTTGGGTCAGGGTGGTTTAGTTCTCCTCCTCTGTTCCTTTTTTTCCCTTACCCTTTCCCTTTTTATAATTTCTTTCCGCTTTTGTTTTCTTACAAATTGAAACAGAGATGGCTGGTTAATTTTTAGCCTCCACTCAGCTACGCCCAATTTACTGCCGCCTTTGAAACCTAAACGGGCGGCACTCTGTGATTAAGCAAGGCAGAAGTGTGTTTACATTATGCCCAACCAACTTGTAATGAGAGGGCTACCAAACCTTTCTCTGTGTGTGTGTGTGTGTGTGTGTGTGTGTTTCCTTTCCACCATTCCAGTATTTTTTCCCCTTCATTTCCCTTTTTCCTCTCTTTATGCGAATGTGAGAGAATGTGGCTTAACTTCAACTCTCGCAAAGGTTGTTTCCCGCGAGTGTGTGTCTCTGTGTCTTCCTTCCTGCCCATTCACAAAAAAGAAAAGCAGTTCACAATGGCTATGGTCACCCCCTTGCCTGTTTGGGAATTTGGGAGGAATGATATCTCTGGATCCAGAAATAAAATTTGGGTTTGGGGGTGCTTTCAGCACTGCGTCAGGAATGTAATCTAGATTAGAGTGCCCTGAGTTTATATGTTGGAGAACTGTGGAGAGGAGAAGATGGTATTGGAATTCGTGTCCTGAGAGGTTGCTTTGGTAACTGGTTAGAAGCAGGGGACACCACTCTCACCCCCCAAGTCCCTACCTACTTCTGTAGATCTTTCTAGGCCTGCACTCGGCCCTGTGTGACCATCGTGACCTGTCATGCTGAAGGGCCAGGAGCCAGTCATTCCATCTCCCTTCATCTTGAATTTTTTCTTTTTTCTTTTTTTGGAAAAGAGACTAAGAGGGAAAAAAAAGTTATCCCCTCATTCTCTGTCTATACAGCAAGCCAGAGTGGGAGGGTGTGTGCCTGGTAGTATTGGAGGTGGCTGGTGGCTTGCAGAAGGCTCGGAGCCTCGAGCTTACCCGCGTGGCCATCAGGTACTCCTGCACAAGGGGATTCTGCACCTTCCAATTTTAGAACCAGGGGCTCGAGAGCATCTAAGATGAAAATCAACACTCATCTTCCTCTGAGCTGGCTTCCTCCAACCCCGCTCTCTGACTGGATCCTTGTAGCCGAGTTGTTCCCCTGGCCTCTTTTATTTTAGGCCAAATTCTTGACTGCTGCCAGCGTGGGGCTAAGGTAGGATGAAAAGTATGTGAGGAAGGAGACCGTTTCCTGGCCAGAAGAAAGGCCCCCCATGCCTCCCTGCCAGCTTATGAGATCATTCGCCCAGGAATATGAGCGAATTCATACCCCATTCCATGTACCCAAGGCCACTGCTCTGGGCTGGGGCTGAGGCCGAGTCTCCTCTACAAAAGCAGAGTAGGGAACTAAGGGTGTATTCTATATTATTCAGGCCCCAGACTCCAGATAATTTCAGTGAAGGTAGGATTTTTCTCACTGGAATTGCTTTAGTTTGAGCGTGCCTTCCTAAAGTGAGTTGGGGCAAGTTGGTGCAGCTCGGGCCACCAGTGGGCCGCATCACTTGTTCCTCTTTGGAGTTGGGTTGGGTGGTCTTGAGATGGAGCAGAACAGGCATGACTTCCTCCTTGAGCTGGCCCACTTTGCTAGAAAATGTCTTCTGTGGCTGAGCCACCAAACAGCATCGATCTGTGGGTACCACTTTATCCATGCCCATGCCTGCCAGACACACTCAGCAGAGTTGCCACTTGCTCCTTCCTTCCAGGATGATAAACTGGGGACAGGGGCTGGGATGGCACAGGCTTTGGACTCTGAAAGAAGTGTTTTTCCTTCTCTTAAGATAGGGCTGAAGAGCCAGATCTGGGCTGAGCTGGGGATCCTGGGTTTGATGACAGTAACATTGATGTGGTAGCAAATGTGGGGGTGTGGCTTTGCCCCTAGGTGCCATTGTCACCCATGGCCTTCCTGGGCCCTTGTTATGTCCCAGATGAAGCTTCAAGAGTTGACACGTTTGAGAGGGATTAAAGGACGTGTGTTTGGCGTCGAAACTCCACTCCCAGAATACTGGGTCCAAATACAGAATACTAGGTCCAAAAGCCTGCCATGAGGCTGGCCTTCCTGCTGGGAAGAAGTCTCTCTGTGTGTTTGTCTGTGTTTAGGAAGGGAGGTTGAAGCAGGGCAGGGTCAGAAAGCACTGCCTTGGGGAGGAGGGTATCCATTTCCTGGTGATATCCTTCCATTCAAAGTGGGTATCCCAGAACAGGTGGCCGGGGACGGGTGAGCTGGGGAGGGCCAGGAGAGAGACCTCTGCTTGTGTGAGAAAGGATGGCCGAGCTGGCCTAGAACTGCTGCTAGAGCATCTCCAAAGTTTCTGCAGCACTCTGAAGGTGAACCAGTGCCTTCAGACCTTCCCTGACACCTAAGCCTTGGTCCTAGGAAAGAAAAAAAAAATCCAAAACTAATAAAATACTTGAGCAAATGGAACTGTCAGCGTCTCCCTGTCAGATCCCTCCCGTGGGCCTGCAGCGGAATCCCCACAAAGTCCAGGTATTTGAGTGGTGGCTCTTTTCTTTATCTAAACTCTTTAATGATGGAGAGCTTCCCACACAGAAGGAACCCCTGTGCACACACCACTAGTGCCAGCAATCGCCAGATCACGGCCAATCTCAATTCAACCATCCTCCCAACTGCCCGCCCACGCTGAGTTATTTAGAAGATCCAGGCATTATAGCTTTTCATCTGTAAATGTTTTTGTGCACATCTCTAAAGATAAGGACTCTTGAAAAACTGAATCACAATACCACTATTATACCCATTAAAAATTTAGCATTTTTTTTTTTTTAGTATCATCAGAAACCTGGCTAATGTTCACATTTCCCTAATTATCACTTAATTTTTTTTTTTATAGTTTGTTTGAATCAGGATCCAGATAGAGTCGGTCCTGCATTGCGATGGGTTGATCAGTCTCTAAAGACTCATCATAATCTCTAGGTGGTCCTTCGCCTCTTCTTCTTCCTTAGTCTTTGTTTCTTTTCTGGCAGTTGTCATTGTTGTCGTTGAAGGAACCAGGTTGTTTGTCCTGTGGGGTTTCCTCAGCTGGACCCTGCAGGCTGCGCTACCCCGGGTGATTCCGTGAGTGTGGTGCTCTGAGAGCAGATTCGGCCTCCCCACCCTACCTTCAGGTCCTGGGACAGCTGAGCTTGGCCTTACCTGTTGCGGGAAATGGGTTAGACCCTGAAGATTTATCTGAGTGAACTTTTTCACCTGTGGGGTTGCCTTCTCAGGTATGAGAGCTTCTGGGTTTTGGCACTTTAGTTTAGGGCTTGGGGTTTTGTAGCAAGCACTAATTTTCAGGTCTGAGGGAGGACTGCCCGTCCACGTCCGTCCTTGGCGGTGAAAGGCATTGTTCAGCTGTGTCCATACTGCCAAGACAGGGCTGGTGCCAGCGAGGTCCCCCAAGCCTTTGCTGGGTGCCCGACCCAACTGTTGGCTCTGGGGCTAGTATGTGGGAGGGTCCACAGGAGCACCCGCCACTTTCTCTGGGTCCACCCCCACCGTGGACCCTGTGCCGCCTCATCCATTGCCTCCTTTTTTGAGGCCCAGAAATGCCACTGGTCTGCGTCTTTGAGGCAGCGCCATCTGGTGCCAGGGCTGACAAAGACCGCGGGGCCGTGGAACTGACGCCTAAAATTAGCAGGATCTACAGATTACCTTTTAACCGAATGTAGGGTCCCCTTTAGAACATCCCGGAAGAGGTGTCACTGTCATTCAAAGGTCAGATTTGGTTGTAAAATTCTTCCATTCTTCCATGTCTAGCTTGTAGGATGGTTCCAGGGATTAAACCAGCTAATATGTAAAGATACTGGCACATAGCAGGACGGCAGCTGCTGTGATTGGGAACAATTGTTTTGATTTAGGGAGCCCAAGGCTGACTCTCTGTCACCTTTACTTGTTGGTCTTTCTTTTCTCTTAAGGGATGACCCAGGTGAAAGCTGATTTTTCTGTAACAGGACAGCATTTGAAATACCAAAAGCAGCTCTTATGTCTCCCTTCCACCCTTCTCCCCAGGAAGCTGTCTCCTCTCCAGCCTGAATATCACCAGTCCCTAATGCC